AGTGTTCATGTCCATCTAGGTTGTGAACAACTATTCTTGTTCGCAAGTAACTGATAGAGTGATCTTCGGTTCGCCCGATGACGACCCACCCTATCTAAGTGCAGAACAACAGAACATAGAACTTGTTTAATCTAACATGATTCTCATTCATAAAGGGTAAATGTGTAATAACATGCAAAGCCAAGCTTTCAGTATATAACACTAACACCACGTACACCTCATTTTCTATATTTATATAGTCACTTGAATAATAATTCCAAACATATCCATATACACCACAATCTCAGCTATATTTCACCCAAAATATTCAAACAATGAACATTACTCCAAAGAACGCTAAGAGACTCAATGTTTCATTATATCGAGTCGGTCGAACTTGACCACTCACAAGAGTTGGGATTAATTTTATACCTGAAAGTCGAGCATGCCCCTCTCAATTATCCTACCTCTCCAAAAGAGAATGACTTCTGCCTTTGATTGCCACTTGTGATCGACACCATCCAGACTCGTCTCTCATTATCACCCTGCTTTGATGGATCCATGCTCGCTCATTTTGTCCTCGAAACTCCACAACTCATCCACCATAACTTGTCGAGACTCGAGTTATTTCGATGTTCCCTCGACAAGAATTCAAAGAGATACTATTATCCACATTATATTCACGTCATCCATTTTGCAATTTTTCACGGAAGAAACACAATAGATCAAATACATCATCACCATCTCCTCGATTTAAGACATGCTCGAACAATGACATGCTTAAAGATTATGAATAATCAATTCAAACAAAATTCCACATTTTCACATGAAAATCCAAATGAGAGGCTCCGAATATATCAAATATCAATTTGTGTAATTTTAATCCACTCCTCGAGCCCACCAATAAAAATTGTTAAATGCACCAAATACACATCAAACATTATCACGAAATATCCTCAACTCGAAATCACGACTCTGCAATTCTCCACGCAAGAAACCAAATAATGTCTCCACGAATAAATCCAATATCTCCACGAACCAATCAAATATCTTATCGAATCAATCAAACAATACTCCACGAATAAACCATATAATCCAACACGAGCAAATCGAATAATACTCCATGAATAAATCAAATATTACCACGACTAATTAAATAATTCCACAATCAAATTAAATATCACCACGACCAATCAAATAGCCACGATCAAATCAAGTATTTTCTCCATGAATAAGTCAAATAGTACTCCACGGATAACTCAAATAATCTCCTCGACCAAATCCAATAAACTTCATGTATAAGTCAAATAATACTCCCCACATAAATCCAATAATTTCTCCAATTTCACCAATTGGAAATCCCTTGAGCCCACACTTAAATTAACCACATACCTTGATCATGGGAATATAATCTCAAATTACCTCACCCGGGCTCAAACCGGGGATATTTGTGCTCCATGGGGCGTATTGGGGATGATAGGCCATGGAAAAACGCCTCTAGGCCGCAGGAACAGGTCTTTGGGCCGCGCTGGAAGCACCATGACCGTACGCAAACAGGTTGAGCCGCGTTCTACTCCTGTTGGGCCGCGTTCTCCTCTTGTTAGGCCGCGCAAAGCAGCATGGGCTACACGCGGGCCGTTTGCGGGCTGGTTTTGGGTTGCGCTATGTGTGAGTTGCGGGCCGTACGGGCTGGGCGCGGCCCGCCCTTCTCCTCTCTTCTCCGTGGGCTGCCCCATACTGGTCTCTCCGTTGGGCTTCAAGGTGGGCCGCACAATGGGCCACAAAGCGAAGCGGGCTTCATTCCTGAGCCGCTCGCTGACGGGCTTGTTTCCTGCTGGATCGCGCACACTAGGCTACCACGCACTGCTCACGGGTCTGAAGGTTCTGCTCGATTCCCTCTTTGCTCCGGCGAAAAAACACCAGAAAAAAAAAAAAAAAAGCTGCTAGAAAATATCGCCATCTCCGGCGAACATGACCTGCTGTGGATGCGCCAGACGAGACGGTTCGACGTGATTCGCCGAAAATTGTCAGCAAATTGGAGAAGATGACTGGAGTTTGACCAAAGATTTCCTAGATCCAAAAATATTGACCGGCAAAATTGACGGCCTTCTGGTTGGAATTTCCGCTCGATATTTTAAGGGTAGAACGAGCACAAGAAGAGCTTCGTGATGATGTAAAGCTTTTCAGAATCGGAGTATTTTTTGCGGCGGCCAGAAGCGGAGGCGGCGGCGGCCGGCGGTGGACGACGGCGGCGCCGGCGGAGGTCATATGCTGGAGACTCCTCTCGTCGAGAGGATTCCAATGGTGCTCCTGGATTTTTCATAGCCCTCACGGACCGCCAGAAAAACGCATTGAAGGTCGAATGTTGACCAAAACTCTTTAGATCCGGGAAGTTTGACCGGCCAAATTGAAGGCCTTCCCGGATAAATTTTCGAATGAGATTTGCAAGGGAGATTCACCTCGACGAGATCTACCCGTTGGCGTAAACACTTTTACGATCGAAGCACTTTTCCCTGCGGCCGGCGGACGAGGTGGCGACCGGTAGTGGTGGTGCGGCGACCGGTAGAGGTGAAGGAGCTTGCTGGAAAATTTTTCGAATTTTTCGGTCGGAACTCTGTTTGGCTTTTCGAACGGGTCCCACAGACGGCGCCAATGAAGTGAATAAGATTTCACCCGGGTTCTTTCAACTCGAACGGCCACCGAACCTGCAAGAACCCAACACCAGGAGGGGTCCCGGCGTCGGGCCTCCGACGCTCAAGTCAGTATCTCTGCAAATCCCAAGAGTATAATTATGAATGTAGAGAGAATGAGATACCTTAGCCCCCTCTTATAGGGGGAGTGTACCTTATGGCCCAACTTGGGCTTGTCCAATATCATCATGCCATGTGTCCCGGCCATGTGTAGGCTTATTTCTTCAATATATTTTCTTTTTTATCCATTAAACCCGGTCTAAGATAATATCCTATATCAATGGTCAATGGTTATAATAATATTTGAATAATTAAAAATAAAGAATTAAATAATAAAAATAAAGAATTATTATTTAAATCAAGATCTAAATCTTGTGGCTAGGAATGAGTCTCACGTCCTCACTTTAAATAAGCGGATGCATTGGAACCAATCTCTCTCTCTCTCTCTCTCTGTATATATATATATATATATATATAGGGGACGGATCCAATGAGACCACTCCTTAAAATGAGTACGTGAGACTCAATCTTAGCCACTCATTTTGTCTAGATCAAAATCAATTAAAATATACATTAATTAAATAATAAAATAATTATTAGTTGACTCCGGCGTTGACCGTTGACTTCCGGCGAAAATCGTTGACTTTCGGTGAAAATCGTTGACTTCCGGCGTTGACCCGTTGCATTGAAATAAATAACCTAGCAACAAAAGACACTCAACCTTGAGTGGTGTAGTGGTTGCATTGCTTGTCTTCCTTCAATGAGGTACCAGGTTCATATCCTATTGGTTGCAATTTTTTTTTTTAAAAAAAAAAACCTAGCAACAAAAGACATATCCTAGCAATAAAATACAACTAACCTAGCAGCATCAGACAACTAACCTAGCATCAGAAATAACCTAGCAACAAAATACAACTAATCTCACAAAACACAACTAACCTAGCAGCTACAGATAACTAACCTAGCAACAAAAGACAACTAATATAATGCCCCAATCGATTTTTAAAGAAAACCCATGGTTTTTCAGAAAATCAAGGTAAAAATTTTCGAAACTTATTTTTCGAATCACAAATTTTTGACATTACTCATTCCTTTCATAAATACAGTTCAAGTCATAACTGAACCACGAGGATTCATTACCCGATTTTTCAACGGTTTTCATTAACCACATACAACAATAAATTTAACATCAGATCATACTCAATCATATATCAAGTAGGGTTTTCAACATAAACCAAATCCAATGTTTTCAAAATAAACGAGTTTCAATGCGCAATCCAACTTATTCCAAATAGGCAACATAAGCAATGAAGTCAATCTAACATAAGTTCATAAACTGAGCGGAAGCAAATAAATAAATAATAAGAAAGGCAAGACCACCACTCGCCCAGTCTCGTCACGCGCCGCTGCTTAACCTGCATCAGTTACGAGCAGGTGGGAGTGAGTACAGTTAAATATCGTACTCATACTTTGCAATGCACATTTCATAATATGTCAAATTGGCATGGTCGCAGCATGAACACAAACAATACACATATGTCACATCTCCATTATAACATAAATACTCCTGTGCACATCTTTCATAATAGTCGCGGAAAGGGGATTCATTACCCTAACGGCGAGAGTACGTGCCACGCAAGGACACGGCCTTTCATAATAGGTCTTTACGGAGACTTGCCTCATAAGGCAACCGTATTACATCGACGAGGACAACCGTAACGATGGCCATCATAATAGCTCACATTGATAGGCTACATATTCACGTTCATACATAGATCACGCCAAAACAGTAAACATATTTAAACACACATTACACAGGTAATTTTAGAATAACAACCCACCTGGAAATCGAGGCATATAATCGCACACAATAACCGATACGTGGGTCGAGGGATCGACTCCTCAAACACCTACATTTAGGCGAGATAATAATTAATAATTTATCTCACTACTCGGAATTAATATATAAATTACACTTAATCAAAAATAATGATTAAGGGATTTTATCGAATTTTTCGTGGACTTGGAACTCTCAAATTTTTAAAAGAAAATGACTCGGAGGACAAAAATAGAGTCTCGGGACTTAAAATAATTTTCTCCAAATTCTTCTCATTTGAAAATATTTTTAAAATTGAAATCGGTACTAAAAACGGGCTTCCGGAACATAAAAGAGGTTAAAAATCAACTTGGGCCGAAGCTGCCAAGGGACTTCACCAATTGGGCCGCGGCTGGGGTGAAATTAGGCCCAGAATCACGGCCTGTTTACGAAAAAGGAGCGCGGGCTCACTGAGGGCTTCGCGGGCCTGGGCGCTGGGAGAGACTTCGGGCCGCGCGCGGGCTAGGGTCGGGCTGAACGGCCCGCGCGCTTTCTGGTTTGCTGGGCGGAAAAATATAAGAACCACTGCACTACACGCCTGGATGCGATTTTAAAAGAACTCATGGTCTACTAACATTAAAACGTGCTACAGTAATAATAAAAAAAATGGAAGGTCAACAGGCCTGGGCAACTTGCTGCGATAACGAACAGAAAAAATAAATTTGTATCTCTCTGGCAGTGGAACACAAACAGAGCACCTCAGATTGCAGAATAAATTCATCCAGCCATGGATTTCGACGGCGATTTCAAGCGCAACCAAATGTTCGGAAAATCACGAAAATATCCACAATAAACCAACTTTCAGAGTTTCTAAAAAAAATCTGGAAAATTTGGAACGACGATTGGAAGGCCCGAAACAAAAGAACGAGACTCCGAAAATAATAAACGGAACCCCGAAATACATCATTTCCACAGGAACAAAAGTCATTCGATTTCAGATAAATCTCAACATCAAGGCTCGATATTTTCGAAAATGAGAGTTCCAACGATTCCACGATAACTTAACGAACAAATAACGAACTGAAATAAATCCGACTTCTAACAAGAATTCGATTCATCGCACGATTTAGCCAACGGTTAAATACGAGTACGAACAAAATACAAAAAGGAGGTTCGCCGATTACCTCTCTTCGAGAATTTACGAGTTCAGTTGGAGATCGGAAGAGGCGAATGAAAAGCTCGACGAATGGCTCGACGGCGAACAAAGATAAACACGGCCTGTTACTTTCCCTTCCCGAACAGAAAGGCTGCGTTGAGGGACGACGAAGAACAGGCTGAGATTCGGATGTCAGTGACTCGCCGGAGAAGAAGGAGCACGCGGCGGAATAATTTAATTTTTTTTTTAATACGGATGCGATGGAGAAGATGAATAGAGCACAGGGTTGATCGATTCTGAGGAGTGAATTCCTCGTCCGAGTCTTATGTAGAACGAGAGAGCGAACGTGAAGAGGATAATCTCCAAAAGAATCGCAACAAGATTTCAAACGGAAGAACGAGTCGACGAGATGGGATATTTCTTCTGCTCATACATTCTCACGCGCCTGGAAGTTACTCATGTGGGCCAAAAATTATATAAGGGATATGGGCCAAAGGAAATTTTTGGGCCATTTAATCTCACAATGGGCTAATGGAAAAATTTGTCTTGGTGGTAATCAATTAATTGGGCTGAAATTAAAATAGCACAAAAGGACCGACAGTAAAATGTATGCGATAACAATAATTCCCGATTAACGATAAATAATAACATTACACGACTTATTATATTAATTAGACTACATCTAATTAAATAATAACAATCCAAAACGGAAAGATGCCGAGCAATAATACCATATAGACAATTAATAAATTACCCTCCGGCTCGATATTAAATTTAATATAATTAACAATTACGAGCATCTAATCGGAATAAAATAATCGAGCCCGAATAATTAATTTGGAAAATAAAATAAATGTCAAATAATAATATCCAATTATTTCGAAATAAATGGGGCGCTACAACTAATCTAGCAGCAAGAAAGAAATATTCTAGCAACTTAAGACAACTAACCTAGCAACAAAACTCAACTAACCTAGTAGAAAGAAATTAATAACCTAGCAACAACAGACAACTAACCTAGCAACAAAACACATTTTCGAGCACCCCCCGCCGCTCTTCTTTTAGGTTCCAGAA